TAGGATCTTCTATTAGTCGTCGTTTAATAGTACAATTTTAAGCGTCTTAAAGAGGGCTCGGATCGCGATTTAAACTATATAAGCGAGGTAGGGAAACTTCTATAGAGATATAACTAGCAACGACGTCGGCTCCGATTTAATAGGGCTAGGGCTATTACTAGGCTCCTCTTTATCGTTATTATCGTACGTATTATTGTACGTATCCGGAATCGTAGCGAGCTTAATATTCGGAAGATTAAGCTAGATTATAGACCTTATAATCTCCTCTATATACTCGACCCTATCGATACAATTAGTAATTTTAAAGACATATACGAGTAAATTGTATATATAACGCCTTATATAATATTCGATTATTACTAGCGTTATCCGTAGTAATCGAGATTAGTTTCGTTATTACGCTAACCCTATCTATTACCGTATAGATAAGCTTCGCTATATCCTTACTAGTATAGGAACCTAGAATTTTAGGGAATCCGATTATAAGTTCCTAGAGTTTCTAATCCGAATTAATAAAGTATAGTATAATCGAGAGGAAGGAGGCTCTTATAGTCCGGCTTAACTAGCTATCGATAGTAATAGCTACTCGGCGAGTATTACGGAGGATCTCCCGAATATCGTCTAACGTAGCCTCTTTATTCTTTTCGAATATAATATACTAGGTTGTCGCGCCGAGAAATAGGGAAAGGTAGTTTATAAGATATAGGTATATCTTCTATATAGACTCCCTTTTGTAGAAGTCTTCCGAAAGACCGTTTATAGCTAGCATTTCGTTTACTAGTTGCTTAAAGTCTTCGGGGGAGAAATCGGTAGCCTTTAATCCTAGAGCTTCCTTAAGCGTAGCCTATAATAATTAGCTAGACCTCTACGGTTAATTAAAGTAGCCGGAATCTGTAGCCGGAATCTGTAGCCGGCAGCTATAGCCGGCATTTTAGAAGACGTACCTCTTTCTAGAACGCTATATCTGTATTAACTCTCCTCTCTCCTTAAGATTCCCGATACTGTTTAGAATAGAGATAGTTCGTAGGCGATAAGTTCCTATCCCCTAGTTTCGGGTATTTTAAGATTAAACAGTAGAAGTTATAGATAACTACTAGTTAACCTTTAAGTCGAGAAGTCGTATAACGGTATAATGCCCCCTCTATAAAGAACTTCTAGAATATATCCGTTCGCTCCTTACTCCCCTATCGCATCGAGTACTTCCGGAGTTTACACTCCTTTAAACGTAAGTATAAAGGGAACTATATCTTATAGACCTATTAATTAAACTGCTCTATATACTCGGGTTTTTAAAGATACGCCTAGCTAGCCTTTTCGAAGATTTCCGGGTTAATACTCGATATTCTTATATCTCCGAACAACCTTCTACTTAGACTCCGTAAAGATAAGGACTAGGTAGTAGTACCCTATAATAAATTCCTACTACTAGGATTCGGAGAGGATAAATCTAGCCCTAATCGTCGTCTAGGACTCGATAGGCTCGAAGGTAAGTATACGACCTCCTCTCGACGTTATCGCAATCTCGCTCGTATACTAAACCGTTTCGACTATCGTCTCGTTATTACCCTTCCTAGTATAGCTCCTAGTATATATATAATATCGGTCGGTATGTTTTAGGGTTTCGTACGGTAAGGTAAGGACTTAGGAGTAGTAGATGTATACTAGTAGCTATAGGGATACACCCTTTCTTTTATAGTATCGTATCGTTAGGAATAGCTAGGTAGTAAATAGCTAGCTACCTTTTTTTTGTTTCCTAGCTACCTAACTGCTAGATTTTTTTTCCTAGCTACCCTAGCTAGCCTAACTACTAGAATTTCTTTCCTAGCTACTCTAACTACCTAAATTTTGCCTTCTATACGGCGGCTCTCTCCTACTAATAGAACCGAGCTACTATACCTAACGAATCTAAGCTCGTTTTTAGTCTTAATCTATCCTCTTTCGGTATAAGATACTCGATAAGCAAATGCTTAGGCCGAGTCTAACTACGAAACCTAAGACTAACTAATAGCTCTATTAACTAATCCTAATCCTCGAACTCCTTCCGCTTCTTAGTAAAGACCTTAAAGAGCGCTCGAGCTTCTTCGGGTACCTACGGAGTAGTCGATATAAAGCTATATCGCTAAAATAGGTAATCCTTCGGAGGCTTATATAGAGATTTAGAGAATTCTAACGCTAACCTATCCTACTAGTAGCTTAGATTCCGGATATAAGCCCTCTCTACCTTAGTAAAGATTTTATATAGTAGTAGCACTCTGCCTTCGAGAAACGCTTTCTATTTAACTATTAGTATCTACCGGCTACGAACGCCGGCTATATATACCGAGTATAGAATAATTACCTATATCCCTTCCTCCTATAGTAATACTTCTACCGTCCCTAGATACCTAGCCCCGATCGTATTAATCGTAAGCTACTTTGTCTTTATAGATATAAAGGCTTCGCTCTAATACTAATAAAGAAACTTCTACTCTATATCGAGGATATAAAGACGACTAGTCTCGATTCTAATCCTTACTAGCTTTGCGTAGTAGCTTTAACTATAATTTTCTAGATTAATAGGACTTATACCTTAGCCCTTTATTAGTATCTCGTCTCTTTAACTATACTCGATCTACTCCTAGCGCTTATCGTCTATAGCGTTAGGCCCTAAAACTATACCTATTACTAGATCGACGTAGGGTATCTCCTCGCTTTTTTTAGTTCCTTTATTCTTAGTATTAAGCTCTATCGCGGCATCCTAAACTTTAGTATTATTGTTCTCGGCTATCTAAATATCTCTGTTACTATCGGTCGTATCGATAGAGGTAGCGGCTATAGGTCTAAATGCTATTAGTTAACGTCTTAAAGAAAAATATACCGGCTATAGCTACCGGCTACGGCTGCTAGCTACGGCCGCTAGCTAGATTAACTTACGCTACTAGAACTTTACGCTCGAAAACTAGCCGCAATTCTTTCCTCCTCTTAGCCTTCTCTTAGGTTGTCTTCTTATTCTAACCTTTACTTTTTTCTATAGGCGCTAGCTATCGATAGAATGCCTTATTCCGCGCCTTTCTTCTCTTATCCTTAGCTCTTTTATCCTTATCTATCTTATCCTTTCTCTCGCGGTCTCGTACGGAATTCTTCTTCGTAGAGTACTCCTCTTTAGTCTTACGCTTTTTAGTTAGACGTTTAGGCAAAATAAACTCGCGGTCTTTAGTTCTATCTTCTATTTAGCGCGTAGCGCGCTTCTCTCTTACTATTATAAGGAAAAGGGGCGGGGGCGTAGCGTATAGTAGTTGTTATCGGTATAGATATAAAGGAAGAATTTAAAAGGTATAAGAATATCGCGAAGCCCTAATTGTTGCCGCCTACGTAACGTTATATAGGTAAGCTTTCGCAACTACGGCAACTACGCCCTAGCAACGGTAACTGCGCCCTAGTAACGGCAACTACGCCCCGGCAACGGCAACTATACCCTAGTAACGGCAATAGAGCGTAGTAAATATAACCTAGTAACTATTATAGCCGGCAATCGTAGCCGGTAGTCGAATAGGAGTGTCCTTATAGTAAAACTACGCCCTAGCAACGGCAAAAGAGCGTAGTAAATATAATATAGTTACTATTATAGCCGGCAATCGTAGCCGGTAGTCGAATAAGAGTGTCCTTATAGTAAAACTAATATAGTCTCTAGTTCAAACTAGGAATCTATATAGTTCGAAAAAACTAAACCGGAACTAGGGAGCTAGTTCGCCGCTAAGAAACCAAACTATATACGTTTAGTAGTTCGGAAACCGAACTACTACGGGGTCTAAGAATTAGTATTATAATAGGCGCCGACGCTATAACCTAAATCTTACTTAAAGTTACTAATTAGGCTAATCGAAGAACGCTATTTCTAGATCCGGAAACTCCGAGTCTACCGCTATATTATTAGTACCTCTATCCGTAAGAATACCCGGTATCGCTAGGGCTACGAAAGGATTAAATTATATGCCTTACGCTAATAAAAGCGTCTTTAGTATACTATTAGTATTATCGCTAGTACTCCGGACCGAAGACATAGTTATAGACAATAAAGAGACCTCGTTCTTAACTATATTTAGCTCTACCTATACCTCCTTCTTAAAGGCCTTAAAGTCCTCTTATATCCTATTAATATCTTCTTCTATTACGAGCCTTCGTCGCTTTACTAGTATTACTACCCTATTAGGAAAAATGGCAGCGAACAATTAGAGACGAAGGGAAGACAGTTAAGAGGGAAGGGAGGACGAATAGAAAGCACTATATGCTAGGGCAGAGGAGGTGCTAAAGGCGGAAGATAGAAGAACCCCTAAGAGGGCATATAGGATAATAATCTTAGAACTCCTTAGAGGACTAAAAGCAATCTACAACTAGGCAAGCTACGTAATTACAAAGGTAGCTAATATAGTCGCAGCAAAGATTACGAAGAAACAATAGGAGACAAGCCTAAACTACCGTACCTAGGTAGTAGTAGCTAGTTAGGAGGCGCTAAAACCCCTAAGGACAGTAGTTAGAGTCTATATTACGGACCTATAGGAGCAAAAGGAAATCTAAGGACTTATAGGGAAAGAGATTATAGAAAGAATTGCAGTTAAAGAGGTAATTAGGGCTAGGAACGAAGGTAAAGGGGTAATTAAGCTGTTTATAGTATAAGAGCAGGACAAAAAGAAGCTAGAAACATAAAAAGAATAGACAACTAAGATAGGGAAAACAGCAAAGGTCTCCTAACAGCAATTTATAATTATAGCCTATAGTATAATAAGAAGCTTTAAGGAAGAACAGGATATTAAGAGCCTATAGAGACAAAACCAAGCTATAGCTATACGCAATGTATTACAAAAGTAGCATAGATTAAAAGGAAAATCGAAGAGACTAAGAAGCAGTCGTCCCTAATTATCTAGGTAGGGAGTACAGAGCAAGCTAATATAGTACTAGACTAAGGGTTGTTCTAGGACTTTGAAAGATTAGAAACAGAGATATATAGAAGCAACTATAGGATAATGCAGTGCTTTAAATATTAATACTATAGACACTTAGCAGCTAAGTGTATAAAGACAACTAATACCTGCTCCTATTATATAGGGGATTACTAGGTTAAAGAATGCAAAGCATATAAGGGAGAAGCAAGATATATATACTATACTAAAAGACACCCCTCTTAGGCGAAGGAATGCCTAGTAAGAATATAGGTAGCTAGGAAGGCAAAGGAAGCTAGAATCAATATACTAAAAAGATACACAATAAGCTAGGGTAGCTAGGTGCAGAAGCAACCTAGCTAAGTGCTATAAAAGAGGTCTAGGTAAGATAATAGGTTCATATTTAGGGCCTTACTAGCATAAGAGAGTTACTAGCAACTAGGGAGACTAAGATACCTTAATATTGTAGGAAAGGAAGCAGGGCAGACAAAGCTTAGTTAAATGTTAGTCTAAAGTAAGGGAAGACTAAAGGAAAACTTATAGGGAAATAATATAGATAAAACCTAATAAACATTGCAATATTACTAAATATTATATAGTATAATGTCAACAAGAGTAAAGACAAGGTATAGAGGAGCTTCCTTTAAGCACTAAACCTAAAAGAATATTACATTATTGCAATCTAAGAGCCCTAGCTTAACCTATATATAAAGAGACTAGTAACAGTTAAAGACCTAAGATACTACCTAATTATCTATAACTAGAGAGCCCTAAGGACATATATCTATATTAGTAAGGAGATAGATACAGAAACCTAGTAGGCTATACTATAGGAGGATAGGGACCTAACATTAGTTTAAGTAGAGACATCCTAAGGTACACTCTAAGTCTACTATATATATAACCTACTACTAGACTTAAGAAGTAGTACCTAACTGAAAACCCTAGAAAGACTACCTAGAGTTATCTAGGGGAACACCTACTAAATCCTACTTAGGGATTTCAACCTCTACTACCCCCTCTAGGGCTTAGACTTTACCCTAGCTTACTACTTCCTAGTAGGAAGACTGATTAATATATTAGAGAGGGAAGGAATAGAAATTGTTACCCTAAAGGGACTAATTACTTAGGAGGTAAGAGGAAGCAGTAGCATACTAGACCTATACTTTATATTATATTAGATTAGGAACAGGATTATAAGATACAGGGTCAACTAGGAACTAGAAGAATTATTAGACTACTTCCCGGTACAGATTGAGCTAAATGTCTAAGCTAATTAGGAAAGGGAACTAGAGGAGAAGCTTAACTAGAAAGGTGCCTAATAGGGTAGGATTAAGGAGGAACTAGAAAGGGACCTAAAACTAGAGGAACTCTTAACAAAACACCTACTAAGGCTAGAGGATATTAATAAGGCAGTAGAAGAACTAATAGGAATCCTAAAACAGGTAGCTAGAAAGCATACCCTAGTAAAGAAACATTTACTATACTAGCAACTATACTAGACTAGTAAGTATATAAGGAAGGTTAAAGTAGTAAGGAAGGCTAGGAGGTAGTAGACATAAACCTATACCTAGGAAGTATAGGACAACTATAACAAAGCCTACTAGGAAAAGAAGATCTAGATTAAGAAAGATAAGATATAAGAATAGAGATCTACAATAGGAATAATTACAAAGAAACTAGAGGAGATATAGAGGATAGCTAAATAGGCAAGGAGACCTAAATAAGACAAGGATATACTACTACAATTCCCGGATATTATAGACTAACAAGGACAAATATAGACTATAATAGAAGGGAAAGCAAAAGCCCTAGGCTAACACTTCTTCTATAGAAAAGTATAAGTAGACCTATTAGATATAAAGGAGAAAGAATAAGAGACTCTACTACTAGGTATACTAAGAGATACCTAGGTCAAACCCGAAACTATTAAAAGGATCCTAAAGAAAATTCTAGGCAATAAGGCACTAAGAGAAGACAAGATCTATAATAAACTTCTAAAAGCATATAGGAAGGGGCTAGCCCTAGTACTAGCTAATATCTTTTTATAAAGCCTAGCACTAGGACACTACCTAAGACTATTTAGGAAGTCCTTAACAGTAGTGCTAAGGAAGCCCTAGAAGGAAGACTATATATAGCTTAAGGCCTATAGACTAATAGCCCTACTTAATATAATAGGCAAGGTGCTAGAAAAAATTGTCGCTAAAAGGCTAACAACCTTTACCGAGGAAAGGAACATCCTTCCTAAAGGCTAAATAGGAGGAAGAAAGAAGAGGTTAACACTAATAGCTATAGAACTAATTATAGAACAGATTAAGCATATCTAGCACTATAGTTAAAACTAGGTAGCAACCCTCCTCTCCCTTAATATCTTAGGAGCCTTTAACAATATCTCCTATAAAAGGCTCCTATATATACTTAAACAGAAAGCTATACTAAACTAGATAGTCTAATTTGTCTAGTCCTTCCTATAGGAAAGATTAATATAGCTTATTCTAGGCAAATTCAAATCAGACCTAATACTAACTAAAAAGGGAATCCCCTAAGGATTAATACTCTCCCTAATCCTCTTCCTTATCTTTATAGTAGACCTACTCCTACTCCTAGAATCAAAAAACACATTAGCATTAGGATTTGTAGATAATACAAATATCCTAGCCTAGTCTAAGACAATAGAAACTAACTATAAGATCCTAGAAGAGAAGCACTAGGAGTATAAAAAATAGATAAGGAGGTATAGAGCAAAATTCGCCCTAGAAAAGTACTAGCTTATCTACTTTAGCAAGGCTAAATCAACCTATAATATAAAGCAATCAATCACTATCTAAGGCTTTAAAACCTAACTATTAGCAGAGCTTAGGGTACTAGGGATCTAGCTAGATCCAAAACTGAATTAGGGACTATAAGTAAAGAAGGTAAAGCAGAGGGTAGATGCTAATATACAATCTATTAATAGGCTTATAGCCTCTATATAGGGGGCTATATTCGAGAAAGCTAAAGTTATATATAAAGCAATTGTTAAGCTAGCAATGCTATATAGAGCATAGATATAGACAGCCTAGGAGAAAACACTAAAGAGGATTAAGCAACTAGTTAGCAGGTCCTAAACCTAAAGCCTAAAGAAAATCCTAGGAGCATATAAAACTATACTAATAAGGGTAGTAGAAATAGAATTAGGGATCCTACTAGTCAAACAATACTTTAAGGGACTAAGACACTAATATACAGCAAAGATAATAGAATACTTAGCCTAACAGACTATCCAAAAGGCACTAGACAAGATAAAAGCCTAGTGTATTAGGACTAGGAGGCGAGATAGACTATAAATAACTCCTTAGAAAGTCAAAGACCTAGAGCAATATAGAGTCTTAATAAGAGAAATGCTAGAGAAAGAGCTTTAGGGATTAAATATAAGGCTAAAGGAAGACAAGCTAAAGGGAGAGAAACAAAGCCTAGCAGAATCAATTGCTAGATACCTATAGGAGTAGGAATAGAACAAAACACAAATCAGACTAGGAACCCTAAAGGCACTAATCAAATTTAGTTAACACAACTACTAGCTCTATAAGGACCTAAATAGGGCCGAGGCAAGCCTAGCTATCTAAATCAGATCTAAATATATTAGACTTAGATCTTACCTATTTAGAAGAAACGTCCTAGGAATTGAAAGCAGAGCTTACTAATATAGCTACTAATCTTAGAACCCTAAGTATATGCTACTAGTCTGCCCTTAATAGTTAGAAGGCAGAAGCGATTAGAGACTAAAAGCAATAGAAAGGGAATACGACAAGCTAATCTAGAGTAAGGAAGACCTAAAGAGGATAGTAAAGTAGATTATTAAATAGGGATTCGTATAACAATTCGCACTAGCAAGGGAAACTAAGGAGTAGATAAGAAGGAGGGAAGAAGAGGGGGAAAGAAGGGCAGGGTAGTAGGCAAGGTAGTTAGAGGGTAACAACTATAACACTAGTATACCCTAGAGGAAGGAAAACAAGGAAACGAGGAAGATTAATACTTATAAATAGGATAGGAGGGAGGTTTTTACTAACTAAGTTGGTTTCCTACCTAAAATAATACATAGAAACAGACCTGTATAGGCCGAAAGGCACTACAATAGGCAAATGAAATATCTATCTATCTATCTATCTATTACTACCCTATTTTCTATATCTACTTCTAGTCTATTAGAAGTAGCGTCTTCTCGTACTATATCTCGCTCTAACTTCTATATTATTATAGTAAACAACTCGCTAGCTTATAAGCGTATATTATAGTCTTATTATCTTAAGGTATCGTTAAAAGCTCTACCGCGAGACTTGCCTTAAGTACGTCTACTTTATAAGGCTAAGTCTCGTTATTTACGACCGCTAGATAGAGTTATAGAGCTATAAGAACCTAGTATTACTAGAGTTAATAACCGCCGAGAGACCGTATATAATACTACTAATATAGCACTTCGACTAGTACTATTAGTAGTACTATTATTAAAGCTTAGACCTTTAGTTAACGGTCTTCTACTTCTATTACGTAGCGGTAGTATAGCTATAAGGTCTTATATACGTTAGCGCTCTCGTTCTATTTCTTTATTAACCTCTAGCTCTTTTTCTTCGTAACTAGGCGTATCTTTATTATTATTTCTATCCTTACTAGTTATACTATTACTAGTACTAATCTTATTATTACTATTGTTCTACTCCGGGCCCTTATCTTTACTAATTACTAGACTATTAGACATCTCCTACTACTTAATAAAGTACTAATTAGCGTCTAGACTCCGCTATATACTACTTCTTCGACTATAAACTTAGTATATTATACTTATTATAATAGCTCGTAGCAGCGTCTATTTCTACCTAGCGCGCGATATCTATTGCCTCTGCCTTTATAGCCTCTTAAGTAACTCGTATCTCGTACTAGGTATATATCTCCGCCTATATAGAACTAGATTTATCTTCTTCCTTACTAGTACTATTATCGCTCTCTTTAACGTTAAATATAGGCTACTACTTATCTTCTAGCTTCTTTATTATACGGTCGAGCGATATATACTATATTTTTACGTTTAAATAGTATTTTGCCGTTATTAAGTTCTACTAGCTAGTAGTACTATATAAGGCCTCGAAGTTAGCCGCTATCCTTACTAAGGCGATCTTATTCTTCTTACTTTGACTACGCTTCTGTCGCTTTCAAGTTATCGCCGCCTTAATCGCTACTTCTAATATATCGATCGCTCTACCTATATCGGTTATACGAGTATAAAGAATAGCCTTTACTACCGCTATATACTACTCCGAGTTATTAGTCTACCTAGTTCTACTCTTATCTTCTACTAATGGCCTCGGTACCTCTAAGGGAGCTATAGGAGCTCGGAAACTCGGTATTTACTACGAGAAGTTAGATATAGTTAATAGCGCTAAAGAGGCCTATTTTAGCGGTATTATCTACTATAAAAGAAGGCTATAAGAAGGCTATAAAGAAGCGATAGAATAATAGCCTAATTATACGCGCTATAGAAGACGTAGTTTAGCCTTAGACGAGGTCTTAATAACCTTCTTATTTAGTAAACTATAACTACCGCTATACTATATTTAACTATTTATTAGACTAGTGCGCTATATACTATATATAGTGTATAGCGTACTACTGTAGTAAGCAGAGTGCTTACAACTAGCTAAATTAGGTCTAGGGGTTGCCTCTTCGAGCGTATAGTAAGCAGTCTATAACACCTCTTCCGCCGGCAAAAGGTGTCTAGACTCTAGAGCACAAGGTGGCATGGTTCCCAAAGTGACTTCACACAACTTCGCGTCGCGCTGAATGACCCGTGCTTTCCGCTCCTGTCAGGCAAAGCTTGTCACTACAGGACTTGCCTGGCAACCGGCGCCGCATCGAATAAATCCCTCATCCTCCCAGCTTCTCCCTCTTCCCCAATTCGTCCCCCACACCCACACCCACACCACACGACACCACTTCCACCATGCCGCCCAGAAGTTTCAAGAAGGCCAAGCGAACCACAATCCCGCCACCCCGAGCCGCGAGTTCTGAGCTGGGCGACGGCGACGGCGACTTCAACCTCGACTGCAGTGCCCAAGGCAGGGCAATTCGCAAATGCCGCAGCATTCGCCGACAGTCGCCATTCGAGGATTCGGCAGTCGCCATCAGCGACGACGACGACGACTTTGAGGAAGAAGAAATCGACGACTGCATTCACATCGCACCCACTCGAAAGCGGAAGAGGTCCCCATCACCACCCGCCCCATTGCCGTCCCGCCACCTGGAATCCTTCTCCGACTCCTCGCTGTCAGATGACGACACCCCTCAGACACCCTTACCGCCGTCGGCAGGCACGACCATCCACCTGACCATCAATGTGCCTCCGAACCACCAAGGTCCATTGACCATCAATCTGGATCCGAACAACTTTGCCCGTTTGCCGCGCGCTCCCACTGCGCCTTCAAAGCGTGATGAGCTGGCCCAAGCTACATGGGCGAGACTCAATGCCCGATCAGCATCGAAAACGAATAGATATGCTGGCTTCCTGGATTTGCCAGCCGAGCTGAGGAACGACATCTATCGCACCGTTTTCGTCACCGCCCGATCAGTAAATTTCGCCCAGGCCGACAATTTCTCCCGCTCTGCTGCACTGTTGAGAACTTGCCGACAAGTCTACGTACGTCTCGACATTCGGCACATATATCACACGCATTGAGATCGTCTGCTAACTTTCCAATAGGAGGAAGGCCGTAGCATACTTTACTCCGAGAACAGCTTTGCCATTGAGCGCCGCACGCAGCGCTACGGATCCTTCTGGGAAAGCGAATGGCGGGAAGTCGGCTTTCTCAACGTGCGCTATTTCATGAAGTCCGTTGGCTCCACCAACATGGCCTTCATCCGCAAGCTCTCATTCATGCTGGAAGATGCCGTTCCGTGCCTCAATCCAGCCATGCGCACTAATGAGGAGCGTCGCTTCGTTCACGACGACCATCTAATGTCGGTACTTCGACATCTGGGCGATCACTCTCAATTACAAACCTTGGACCTCCATTTCCATGGACGCCGACGTGTCGATCGCACCGATGACCGATTCCTCGACTACATGAAGCGCATTAAAGCGGACACGGTACGATTCGTGGACTGGCCTCCTGGAAGCAGGTATCCTCGACAGAGCAAACAGGATGACAGCGTAAAGACCGCGCTTCTCCAGCACTGTACGAGGAAGCGCAAGAAATTCGACGTTTGAAGTCGACACGAGTCATTCTCCTGCAGGTGTCAGGTTCGTGGGAGATCGAGATTGGGCAGCTGTTAACGCGCGTGCATCCACTTGCATTGTGGGGAGCGTTCCTCCGGCAGGCCAGAAGTTTCGAAGCATCTTCTATAGACGGGCATGGTCATAGAAGGATGCGGCGCTCGAGCGATTGGCGCATCTTTGCCTTGATAGTGCTTTGCGGCTAAGTCGTACGAAACGGCAGTTAATGAGTGTCATGTTCAGCAAGCGGCCATGCGAGAAAGGTCTGGCCATGAACGAAAATGGAAAATTGGAAGCAAATATAGATGAGAGTTAATTGCATGGCAGGCATACTATACTATACTTTGTACAACATCAGAAACATGTATATATAACCCATGCTATCCCGACCATCACCGAACCAAGGAACCGTATCACACCGATCTGAACCAAGCGTGTGCACCTTGAAGCACACTGACCGCTGCAAAACACACATCACCTGGCACGAACCTTGACGCCTCACTTCACTTCCCTTTCTATATCGATAAAGCATCCATCTTACCGACAACGTCCGTGATATTATATGTCGCACAGATACTGACTGAATCAGGACAAAATCGATATAATGTCTTGCATGGAACCAACAACAACATATAGCTGCTATAGTAGTAGTTAGTATATAACCCTCAGATATAGGCAGGCAGGCAGGCAAGCAATCCAGAATCTTTTTTTGTTCTTCTGGGAAGGGCCGTGTACACGAAAAGAAGAAGAAGAAATTCATACCACACTGCATGAACATAATAAACCAATCTTTCCGTATCAAGAAACCTTTCTACCTCACAAAGCACCAAGCGCTCAAGATGCAAGAAAGCTGCTGTAGCAGTCCCAATGCACTGCCTGCTAAGCAAATGCGCTTTCTTTCGTCTTATGTACACTGTCGCATCTCATCCATCATCATATCTCATTAACAGAATCCCTCCCCAGTTCCCTTCCCGTTTTCATTTCTTCTCTAGTGTCTGGATTCACTGCTTCTTGTAGTGCTATTGTCTCTAACCTTTTCCCACAACGTCGTCCTCAGAACTGGCCGTTCCACTCCGACTCAATCAAGGTCGACTCTGCAATTCCTTGATTTGCTGCTCCACAGCCTGCAATTGCGCAGCCATTTGTGCTTGAGCCTGAGGTTTCTTCGCCATTTCCTCAGGAGTAAGATGGATCTCAGTCTTTCTCTGTGCTGACTTGGGCCGCTCAGGTGAAGGCATTTTCGGTGTGAGGTTGTTCTCTTGACTGCCGCCTTCCTCTTGAGTCACCACATTGCTGACGAGTTGGTTGGCTTCATGTTGCAAATTCGGAATCGCTTTGGCGGGTTGGTGGAGGTAGGATTCTAGCATTTGCTTGAGGGTGTCGGCACGCACAGGTTTGGCGAGGTAGTTGTTCATGCCTGCTTCGAGACACTTCTCGCGATCACCGCGAATGGCCGATGCCGTCATTGCGATGACCAGGATGTCGCGTACTCGTGGGTCGGAATGTTTGCGAATCTCGCGCGTCGCGTTATAGCCATCGAGAACAGGCATTTGCACGTCCATCAGGACAAGATGGAAAGGATGGCCATCTTCACTTGCCCGGCCGAGCGCGTCCACAGCCTGCTGTCCATCGCCGTAGGCTTCGCAATTGAAGCCGAGCTTCTTCACGAAGTTGATGGCGATCTTCTGGTTGATTGGGTTGTCTTCAGCAATGCACACCTTAAGCTGATCGCGAGGTATGCCCTGTAAGCTCATGATCGCTCGAGCTCCAGGTCCGTCATCCTCCGCGGGCGGCGTGAATATTGCCATAGGATCTGCTTCTCTGCCGTGTAGAGTCGTGCCGTTGCTCTCCGAATCCAATGATTTGACCTTCTTGAACGGCAGACTGAAAGACACTGTTGTACCAACGCCAGGCTCACTCTCGAGCCAAATCTGTCCATGCATGACGTTTTCGAGGATGGCTTTGCAGATTGACAAGCCTAGACCCGTTCCACCATAGCTTCGAGCTGTGCTGGAATCTGCCTGCGAGAATGGCAAGAAGAGCTTCTTCTGCTGTTCCTGAGAGATGCCGATTCCGGTATCGGTGACGGAGACTGTCACCTTGATGCTGTCGGCATCTTCCCAGTCTACCTTCGCCTTGACTGTGACGCTGCCTTTGGCTGTGAATTTGTACGCATTTGACATGAGGTTCATCAGAATCTGGTGCAGCCGAACTGGATCACCCATGACTACGAGATTCTTGTCAAGTCCGTCCAGGTCTTGTATCGTCTTCAAGTTGCGCTCGATATTCGTATACGAAAGTGCTCTGACGACTTCGCTGATGGTCTCGGTGAGAGAGAGCGGCACGCTGAAAACCTCTGTATACCTGTTAGCACAACATTCATTACTATGGGAAAGGGTGTACTCTTACGCATCTTGCCAGCTTCCAGCTTAGAGAAGTCCAGAATATCGTTGATGACACTAAGCAGCGTATCGGCGCATACCCTGATGCTGTCGGCATGTTCTTCCTGCTCCTTATTCAATGGTGTCGCCTTCAACATCTCGCTCATGCCGATCACACCGTTCAGCGGCGTTCTCAATTCGTGAGACACGTTGGCAAGGAACATGCTCTTAGCTTTGGCGGCCTCGTCTTTGAGCCGAACCATCTCCATCGCTTTCGCTTCGGCAGCCTTGGCCTTCTTTTCAGCTTCTTTTGCCTGGGCAAGAGCCTGCTTTTGCACTTCCAGCATAGATGTGTTGCTTGCTTGCACTTTCTCCGACCGCTTGAATAGCAGTGCATTGGCAATGGAGATTGCAATCTGATTGACGAGCAGCTTAAGCAGCGTCACGGTGCGCTCTGTGAATGTGTTGGGTGGCGCTTGACAATACAAGCTGCCGAGCAAGACATTGTCGCCATGCAGTATTGGTATGGAGATCATTGATGCGCCTTCGGGGAATTTCTCCAGCCAGGATTCGGGAACATTCGAGAACCGCTCGTCTTCCAGTACCTGACGAAGGAAGACCTGTTCCTTGAATCGCAGAACGTATTTTGTGACCTGTTTCGCCACCATGTCGTCCACTTCCTCCAATGGGATCCCTTGCTCTGGCGCCTCAATACCTTCGGGCGTGCCCACTGACGCCACACACCACGTTCCGTCGTCGCTCTCGACCACAAGACCAACCAGTTCTGCTCCTGTAGAATCGACTATTATGGTCGTCAGCTTCTTTAGCAGTCGATCCACGTCCAATTCTGATGAAAGCAGTTGAGAGCTCTCCAAAATGCCGGCCAGATCGATCATATCTAATCCGACCGCTGAAGAAAGCGCGGCTGGAGGTTCTCGAACATTTGCGCTTGCTGCCGTCTGCGGATCCAGCCACTCCGCTGTCCTATCAGTTGAAGTATGGTGTAACGCTTGATGACTAGCAATCTTTTCCAGCTTGTAGGCATATGAAGGGCCACTGGCTTGGTCCATGGTCGTTTGTGTCCCGGCGTCCACTGTGGAAAGGCTTCGAGTGCCATAGAGCAAGAATTCATACTTCTCGCTGACATGCTCTGCCTTGCCGAACGCTCCGACGCTTCGATATGACGAGATGGCATCGAGAAGTATGCCCCTCGCAGGACGAGCAGCACCTCTTCTTGCAAGCCAATCAGCGTACAGCTCGAGACTGAAGCCTTCGTCGAGTCCGTTGCCAGTCAAGACGCATTGATTAACGGCATCTTCGAAAAATTTGAGGACTTGTCCGTATTGTTGCTGCACGTCCGCGAGCTCTCCGTCAAGAAGGTTGATATAAGTCAAGTAGCTGGAGGCGGCACTCACACTGCCCACGATTTCGCACGCCGTCCTACATTCAACCACTTTCTTGAGAAGAGCGTCTCGATCTTTCCTGTCAGGCTCTTCCCTGAGAATGGCGAGAATGGCCATGGCGTAGTAGAATAGATTGGCGTAGCGATGAGGCATGGACAGCAGTCCCTCCGTCATTGGGAGCAACCTTTGTCCGAATTCCATTGCCTCTTTGTAGTGCCCGAACCTGTAGAGTGCCATCAGCTTGGAGACCAGGTAAAGACTGAGTGGCCGCTCGGGGCTGGATGCGGCGTTCTTGACAAATTGTATATAGTCGTCGCTGTTATGGCTTGGGTCGCTCAAGACGTCATGCGCAGACTTGTAGTTCGTCTTGCCAGCGAGTGCTCTGACCAACTGACGCGTGCCCATGACAATCACACCGCCTCGGAGATTCTCCTGCCACTCTGGAAATTCATCGCTCACTGAAGCAATGAAAGCCTCGGTCTCGGCCAGATTCTCAGCTGACCACAACTTGTAAGCCGCCATGATACCAACATTCAGAAGGTGAAGAATCTTGTCGCCGGCTGCGGATGCCGCCTCCAAGCCCCTATTGAGAGCATTGAAGTTGTCTCGCATCTCGTAGCGAATATGGCCAAGAAACAGCGAGTGTAGAGTCAGTCCTCTCCCAGCTGTGTATAGTTCCTGGTCGAAGAAGTCAAAGATCCGGAGTGCGGTGTCCCCAAATTCCATGGCTAGCTGAACCATGTGAAATCGCCAAATTGTGAGCGCTGCGATGTTCACATAGCCTAGCCCAGCCTGAGCATAGAGCCCACGCTCGAGATACAAGGATAGGATTGCTAATGTGGATCGATAAAAGAGCAGATGGTCGGTCCAGTATGCCGAGGACTGTAGTTCGGTCAAGAGAGCTCCTAGTGTGCTCAATGTCCGATCAACACTCTTGCTGGTGTGTTCGAAGTCGGGAGGGTTCGCCTGCAGCAGAGGAATCATGCGTTGGAACTCTTCGTCGCATTGCTCCCAGGTCATGTCTGTGATGGGGAGGTTGAGCTGAGCCAGGGCGTTTTTGAGGCCATTGTAGGCGGTATTGCTGTCTCCTCTCTGAACATGCATGCGAGACAATATTATAGCAGCAGGAGTTCGGTCCTCTTTGGACCGAGTGTTGTTTGATACGTCGTTCAAGAGTTGCTCTGCTTCGTCGTACTGCCCGTTATACCAGAACGCTTCCGCCGCGCGCGTCTTTAGTGTCAACACTTCTGCATAATTTGCATCGCCTGTGGGGTCGTTCCAATGGTTTGGAGGAAGCAAATCCAGGCAATGCTTGAAGTAGAAGAGACCAGATCTGCGTGCACCCGATTCTCGTGCTGTCTCGGCTGCTTGATACAATAGATCCCTGAATGCGAACTTCTTCTTCTCACGACGTTTGATGCAAGCAATGCCTTTACATATGTGTCTGGCTTGTTCGAACAGAACGTTGTTTGGTTGTGTGATCGGGTCGTAGGGCTCATGCTTCATCATAGAGCAGGCAACAACGTAGTGCATCTCTTCTCGCACGAAGCTCTCGCATAGCGACTCTGCTGCAGCAATGTATCTGTCGTGGCTGAATTTAAAGAGGTCTTCATCACTGGTCGGCATTACGACGAAAGACGAGAGCGCAATCTGCAGCCCAGAAACAGCGTCCTTGCTCTCGGGTGGAATAAGCGGTTGGGGCACTAATCGTGAGCACGCACAGCTCATGACCCTTTTGATCGTCTCAAATCTGAAATTGTTGCCGATGATAGCGGCCCACGCAAGCATTGTCTGAGCATCGATAGGTAATTCCTTCATGCGTCGCAGGATAAAGTCATTAGTTGAGAAGCGGCTGCCATCCGGATTGGAAAACTCCTCAAACAGCTTGTCAATGCTATACTCCCACTGGCTGCATTTCCAGCAGTAGTAGATGCATTTCTTTCGATAAGCAGAATCCAGCATCTCGCGAACGAAGAAAGGATTGCCCTGTGTCTTCTCCTGTACAATGCCTACTAGAGGCGTACAGTAGTCCTCGGGACGGTGCAAGGTATCGGCAACGTATTTCATGGTGTCCTCGTCTGTGAAAGCTCCGACTTCGACCGTCGTTGATCGTTCGAGCAGCCGCTTCATCGCAGGTGCAAGCATATCCTCTCCACGATACGTGACAATCAGCACGATCGGGATGTGTGCTCTGCAGATGACTTGTATCAGCTCCAAGCTCTCCGGATCTGCAAATTGAAGATCATCGAGGCAGAAGCAAACAAATTTCTGGACCGCTAGCAATCGGAGGACGTCCAGAAAGATGTTCATAAAGCGCGAGGTTTTGTTCGATCCACCAGAACGAAGCCACTCTTGTGTGCTGGCGGCGTTGCACATCTTCCGTTCCGGCATTGCACCAATCGATCCATTTTGATGCTCTGCGGCCTTGTTCGACACTTTCCCATTGACAGTCGGCGCCAGAAGCCAAAGAGGTAGTTCTAAGTAGGCATGCAGAATTCCCCAAAATGGCTTGACAAAGGCCCGGATGTTTTCATGAAAAGGCGTGTTGACATCGTTCTCGGAGAAGATCTGTCGAAATAGCGAAGACATGACTCTGATCACTGGGTCAAATGGCGTGGTTCTGATTTGATCGAACTTCGCGCTCGTGAAGTAGCCATGTTTTCGTGCTTGCGTTTGGATGCTCCTAATCAGCACCGACTTGCCAAATCCAGCAGCGCCACAAACTCCGATCAGCTCAGTCCTGCCTTTCTTCTTCAGCTTTTGTGCAGTACGGAGGAGAGAGCTAGGCTCGCTGTTGTTTAGACTATTCATGTGCACACTTGACGACAGTGTCCTGTGCAAGCTGTCGGTATTGTTGGGTGACGCGCGACCGTCGACCGAAAGATCCTGTTCGGCCCTGTCTGCGATAGCTTCACCATTGACCGAGGTGGCCGTAGAAGCTACACTTCCAGACCGATCAGTATTACGTTCCAGTCGGTCTTGTGCTACCTTTCTGCTGTATTGGGATTGAGGTTCATACGGCGCCGTTTCAGGTATCGATATGAGTCGCTGATCATCACGACTGCGCTCGCGATCGGTCGACGATGTGGTGTCGCTCAATATGTCTTCCAGAGGAAGAGTGATCTCTCCAGACATGATGGAGGAGTTTGAGCTGAGACTGTACAGGCCCTTTCGACTGATGAGTGGAGCCCTCGCGGACCGCTGTGCAGCTCGTTCGATCACGCTAATGATGGCTTGGCGCTGCTTTTCTCGGCCGACGAGATGATTGGGAAGGACAAAGAAGCATGAGACATCCTTGGTAGCGATTTTGAAAGAGCTGAGGGCCTGTTGGTCGCCTTCGATGAGAATCTTCTTCAATTGCTGCAAGTCGTACTTGATGCCGGACGTCGAGTTGTAGCGATCGTCCATATTGCGCGCAGTCATTTTTTGTATGACTTTATTAAGCGCATCCGGTACATCGGATCGAAGGGAAGAAGGCGGAGGTATTCTCTTGGAAAGAATGTTTTGCATAATGTCAAGGGGAGTTTTCCCTTCGAAGGGCGCCTGACCGGTCAGCATGGTCCACAAGAGTATGCCGAGTGAGTAGACGTCAGTCCTTGCGTCAGGCTCGGCAGGCAGACGACCTGTTTGCTCGGGCGCAATGAATTGCAATCGATGCTCCACACCACGCTGAGACATCAACGTGGACCAGTTGGCAGAGGTCAGGCCATGTTCGAAGCTCCGCGAGCCTGAGCCGAAGCTGATCATGCGCACAACACCAGTCTCCTTGTTGAAGTGGAAAGCGTCGGCCCGAAGCTCTCCATGGACCAGCTCGTTGCCATGATGAAGGATTTCCAAGCACTCGCTGGCTCCTATGCCAAAGTCCAGGAAAGTCAACAGTGCGACTTGCTCATGGCTCTGCTCCTGAGGGCTGTCTGGCGCTCCGGCATAAAAGTTTGGCCCGAACTCGACCAGCTCCCGGAGATAGTTGCGTCCCGGGGCTTCGACGACGGAACAGCATAACGGCGGCTCGCCGGGATGTCTAGCGGGGAGTCGGAAGAAGTCGAGTGGCCTCACAAAGTGTTTCCTTTCTGGCGCAGATTCAGAAGACTGCTGGAACAAGGCCTCACACAGCTTGAACTCGCGCTCCAGACGCAGAATCTGCTTGCCCACACGACCAATGACCCATACCTGCTTTTCTTCCTGTCCATCGAGAGTCGCAGCATCGTAGTCGGATCGCGTTCGGATGGACGATGGTCGGGAGGAAGCAGAGGTGGAAGAGGCACTTGTCTTGCGGTGGCCGGTGGGTGAGGGCTTGCGCTTGCCAAAAAAGTGCCAGTTGTCGTAGCTGGAGTGGAAGGGAGGGATGCGGTCGTTGAACTCATAGCCCGGCACCTCCTCCTTCAGCCTCTCGAACATGCGGCGGAAGGGCGCGACTCCCTCCTCGCCGTCCTGCTCTTTGCCGAGCTCCATAGCAGCTGCCCTCTAGCTTCCACAAGACGCCTCTGCCGCGCTCATGCTTGTTTGTCGACGTGCGGGAATCTATTCCGTCTCCATGCCGCGGTCGGGGATGTCGATGGGCGAGCCCGTAAGGTGCGTGCGGGAATGTGTGGTGGCGGCGGAAGTGAGGTGAGGTGAGGTGAGGCTGCGCACACAGGCGATGGACGCCGGCGTAGGTGGGAGAGGAGTTCACGCAGCAGTGTAATCGATAGCAGTCAGGCAGTCCACGCGAGACGGCAGCTCCACTCGCTCGCGTATAAGGAATAAGCTTCCACTATTGCCGCTACTACACGTTTGTAAGCGTACTATCCGCTCCCAGCTTCTGTTGTCTTTGACCTGTCTCAGCCTGCATAATTGATTGCGCAGACCTGTGTCACTGAAGACCGAGACGACGAATGCTTGTACAGTTGTCCTCGGCGCAAACGCAAACACGACATCCGCGCTAGAAGTACGGTATGCGAGCGCTTCTTGGAGCTTATCCACAGCAGTGTGCCGGGATCTTGCTGCAGGGTCTCCGCCACGACTCGGCGGGAAAGCGCGCGGGTGCGTGTGTGCGACCTAATATTTGATTTGCTTCTGTTCAAATGTTTAGGGAGCCCACCTGGCACGCTGGATACCTACAGCAAGGTATGCTGTACTGGTGGTTTAGGTATGCAGCGTGAGACAGCTTGCCCAGCACTGCATTTCCACTTCCACTCAACTTGCACCCGGCCACTCCAGAATCAGTGACGAACAAGCCGCCACTCCGTCCACGTCGCAGCCCCCCCCCCCCCCTCTCCGAAGAATGGTTCGCCGCGGCCGAGAACCTCACCACACCCACCCCGCCAATCCGCAAACCAGGCGTCTTCACCTACGCCGGAGCCTGGTACGACGGCTGGGAGACCCGACGCCATAACACAGAAGAATACGATTGGGTGGTAATCAAACTCGGCGTCGCGAGTGGAAAAGTAAGAGGCGTAGAAATCGACACAGCATTCTTCGACGGAAACCATGCACCCGAGATCGCGGTCCAAGGAACCTTCAACACAGAAGATGTCGCCGACTCAGAAGTCTCGAAAAAGGAATACAGAAAATGGGAAACGATCCTAGAAAAACAACCCTGTGGTCCCAGTCGTAGACAAGCCTGGAAACTCCCCAGCATCACGGAAAATCCCTACACTCACGTCCGTTTACTGATGTACCCAGACGGCGGCATCGCCAGGTTCCGACTCTTTGGAGACGTAGTTCCAGTCTTGCCCCAAGACGTGAATGCAATTTTCGATTTGGCAGCTACAGTCAACGGCGGCGTAGCAGTTTCCTGCAGCGACCAACATTTCGGAACAAAAGATAATTTACTCCTCCCCGGACGGGGTGTGGATATGGGTGATGGATGGGAAACGAAAAGAAGCCGAGGCGAACATAT